TTTGAACCAGAAACTCTGTTGCCCTTCCGCCGGTACGAGTGCCCTGCCCTTCTGGTGGTTGTTACAGAAGAACGAGACTCGATGGAATGAATGTTACCCCCAGTTTCAAACCGGCTCCCAGTCTACAGCAGAAGCCGAAGCCCATCCGGCATAGAGCGGATTCGCCTCTGAGGGGCCACGGGAGCGCCCCCTCCCCCGTTAAGCTCTCGGAGCGTCGCTCCCAAATGGGCTATAAATAATTCACCCTACTCCGCAGTTCAGCGCTAGGCTGCCCCGAAGGCTCGGAGGGCGACCGGCCTACCTCGACCCCAGGCCTGCTTACTCACAAGGAAACACCACTCAATTCAATGAAGCTTTAGAGCGCAGCTAAGTCACATGGCGCTGTGACTCAAGGCCTTTGTGAGTGCCAGCTAGCCTGCCCTCTCTCTGTGGAGACAGGATACCACCAGCTCTATCCACCACCCTTCCTTTTCACCAAGGGTGAAAATATCTCAAGATATTTGGTTATGCACTCTTGCACTCTTCAATGGGCGGGGGGGGGGAGGGAGAGAGAACAACACGGTAGCTTCCCATCCGACAGGCAACATTACTTTCTCCTTTCCTTTCCTCACCTAGACAGTACCAACACCATCACTCCAGCACAAGAAGCCACTTAGCTTTACACAGAAGCTTACAGGATGTGGATGGAAAGGTTATCAGCATTAACAGATCTGTGAATTTTTAAACCCTATAGAGAATTCAAATTCAGATGGTGTGTTATCAATCCCTAATCCTACAAAGCCGGTGTAGCTGAAAAGAACACCACTGAATTTTAGCAAGTGAATTTTCCTCCAGCTAAATTTGGGATGAATGCACAAGAAAACTTACAAACTAAGCTCTATTAAATTTTATAGGAATTCTGTAAAAACATGGACGAGACTGGGAGGTACTGAGGGCAAGCTGACACTCTTTCTTCCCAACAACCTAATTAAGCAGAATGCCACTTTTTTCCAGCCAAAAGTAGAATAATTATTTTATCCAAAAACACATTTTAGTTGAGGATATGTAGCTGCATATTTCTTGAAATAATATTAATATCTGAAAGATTCTGCTTTAAAATGCATACACCTGTCCATTTTGTTTCTTTTTGGAACAGATTTGCAAAGGAAGAAAGCACCCCCCCACTGTGTTTTAAACTTTGCCATCCTTGTATGTTTTAAGGCACTTTCTTTGCACTTTCAGCTAACAACAGGAAACAGATAGGAGGCAGCAATTCCCTACTTATCTCACTATTACTCTCCATGTTACAGCTGCAAAGTACAGGAAATGTATTCAGATTTCTAATACTGAGAAGAGCAAAAGACTTTTGCCTATTTTTTTAGTGTTACAGAAAGAAGCAATATACTGGACCAGGTTTCATTTTGGAAACATATGCCAAACACATCCTGGCCAACCAGCTTCAACACATTGCTCATTACTTTTTGATTACTGCCATGCACGGCCTGAGGTTCCAGGAGCTTATTTTTAAAAACCTTTAATCTGCAAACATTTACAGAGCAAGGCAATCCCTAGTGGCCATACATAAAGCTTAATTGTCTCTGTAAACATGTGAACGTAACTTTGAAATAAAACTCTTAACAGTAACACAATAGACAAACATGAAGTTGGATTCTACATCACTTCTTTTTAAAATACTCAAGTTGAACTTGTAATAAAGTATAATTTTGTTATCTCACAAACTTTCTCCAAACCCGTAATCTTTTTCTGATGTAGAAAGGTTTGTTTACCAGAAACAGCACTGGGCAAAGGAGAAGAGAGTTTCTCTGTACCCCACCCCACCCCCACCCTTGTTTTTAAAATGTACCAGTGAATATAACTAAACAAAACCTTGGTTCTGGAATTATTCAATGAGAGCTGAAAAACCTCTTGTCATGGAAAATATGCAGCTGATATTTAAAAAGGTTTCCTGTAATTAACTCCCCCTTGAGGATTTTAGGTTAGCAGCAGTAAAATTACCTACAATATTCTAATACACAACACATGCACTAACATTCAATTCTCAGTGGCCTAATAGCTTTCTGGAGAGGAATTTTATTTTTTAATTAGAATAAGACAACTACGAGGATAAAATAAAATGAAGCAGATAACAAACATGTTTATAAATTCTGACAGCCTGTGGCTGTAGTTTGGTACACAATGCACCTTTAAAATCAGCACATTCTTGCACATGTTGGACAATTCCACTGTATTCTCCACACTGGTGAACATTTTGCTTTAACAGACAAATACTACCATTTAAATTACAGATACCTCTTTCATTTAGTTAAAACTCAATTTGGAAGTGTGTGTGTACAAACACGCACACACACACACATTATATATATAGCATTTAGAGGAATATCTTTGGGGGGGAATCCTACGTTTACTATTAATCCTAATTTTACAAACACGCACACACACACATTATATATATAGCACTTAGAGGAATATCTTTGGGGGGAAATCCTACGTTTACTATTAATCCTAATTTTCTCCAGTTCTCTTTGTCAGTAACTGAACTGGGGTTACCATCATGTGGTCCATTTACATCAATACCTATGGTGCAAGTTATAAATGAAAATGCTTTTGCAGGGACTCACGCATTTCCTGGTGCCTATGGGCTTGCTGTAACACTACGTAAGCCCTCCCACTCCATTTGGTCCACCCTCCTGCTTATCTGAGTAAAGACAAGACATCAACACATGGCAAGGACAAACAGGGCCCAATTTTGGCATGGCCTACTCTAATATCGTTTTGGCAAAAAGAAACACAAACACAA